GTGATGTATCCCAAATTATTTGAAAGTCTATACAAATTAATTAGAAATGATACTAAGTTTCATATATACTAACTAATAAAAAAAGAAAAAAGTCTTATATATTCATATACATATTCAATGACAAATGTTGCAGAATGCGATGGTGCTTCCGAAATACAACATGAACGCGAACGAGATCTTGTACTGCACGGCAGGGCAAGGAAGGATCCAAGTGGTGAACGACAACGGACAGAACGTGTTGGACCAGCAGGTGCAGAAGGGACAGCTCGTGGTGATACCACAAGGGTTCGCATACGTTGTCCAGTCACACGGAAACAACTTCGAGTGGATCTCTTTCAAGACGAATGCTAACGCTATGATTAACACTTTGGCTGGTCGAACCTCGGCTTTGAGGGCATTTCCATTAGAGGTCATAACCAATGGTTATCAGATCTCACTGGAGGAAGCTAGAAAGATCAAGTTCAACACACTTGAGACCACCTTGACTCATTCCTCCGGTGGACAGCAGCTGATTGAGGAGATTGTCGAGGTTTAACCAAAAACGGTTTTCTTTTTACTAATAAAGTAGTGACATGAAAACTATCATGTAGTCAGTGTTGTGATCATGCACCAAAACGTTTGTGTAAAATATGTGTCTGATGAACACAACGGCACGTCACTTGTAAGTAACCCTTTCTTCTCATAAATAAAAGGGCAGTTTCGAGTTACATACAAATATACTGCGCCTTTGATTTGTGTATTGATTTTAACGTTCTTACTATTAATAATATTCGATATTTGTGGTAAGAATTTTTTCCATACTCGGATCGATTTGGTGCAAAAGGTTGGAAACACAATAATTATACACTTCAAGAAATAGCTATGAAAAAATCACTAGTTATGCGCCAAATTTGATAAAAGGTTTTAGTTATATGATTGTAGCATATAATGGGTTGTAGCAATTGGTAACACTGTAATCCCTGATCACTAGGTCTCGTACCCTAACTTAATCAATAAGTAACATACCTGCACAAACTAAAAGGGAAAAATAGGGGTAAGTAATTTCGGGAAAAAATTACTCAGTGAGATTGCTACCCACAACAACTTTAATACTTGGAAACAATAGGCAATCAAACACATTAAACCAGACATAGAATATGCATCACCCAACTTATTACTAGCAACATAACATTCACAACTAACATTTCTATACCATAATCTCTTTTACTTATATATTAACTCATACTTAAATATTCCACTTTTCACATTTTCTACTTTTTTTTCCTTTTCACATTCTTTACTTTTCTTAAATTCACGGCGGAGCCAACCTTTTTCTCGCGTTTTGGGTCTGTCCTCCCCGTCATGGCCCTCTAAGGCCTAATGGACTACAACGGGCTTACATACGCGATCGTTCGTAGTCCAACACGCAAAGTTCTGTAACGGACTTACGTACGCGATCGTTCCCAGAACTATCCTATACTCTAACAATCTCAAACAATACTTTTTAATCTTTAAATTCATTTAACTACCAATCAATTTCCACACATCAAACAATCTTTACTAACAATCAGRAAGCATCAAARAWTCCTASYRTTAYCACARATAACCAACAACATCACATTCCATCCCTAGACTAACATGTAAGAACATCTAGTGTTAAATAGTATTAAAGTAATCTAGACAACACCCTCACCTTAGCCTTTGGATGACCAAATATGGAGAAGTGAACCTAGAAGGATGTGAATCTGCGTTCTGAAAAAGCGATTCAAGTCAAAAATACGTTTCTGTATTTTGACAGAATAAATGTTTGTTGACCAGAAAGAAACATCAGTAACTCACCGGATTTAGATTGGATTGGAAAACCGGAACTTGATCTGAAATCCTTGTAACGTCACCTTTCCAACGGTAGAAAAATCGTGTTCTAACTCCTTCTGTAACAGCGTAGACCTTCCTCCAAAGTTAGCTCTGTGAAACCCGAGAACAGAATCTGATCAGACATCTAGGGTAAACTTAAATCGTAGATATCGGGTTCATCTTACCTCGGAATCCAAATTGGAAAAGAGCCACGGAATCTACGAAGAATCCTCTATCCAACGGTATATAGATCGTCGCCTAAATCCTCACGGTTCGCCGGAAAATCACCCCGCAAGTGCTCTGGTTGGATCTGAGACAGCATTTCAGATTCAGAAACTGTGATTTTTTCTGATATTCAAATACGATTTGCGAGCAGACCATACCTCATAATTCGAATCCGAAAAAAGTTTCAGAAACTAGAATCRGTGATCTTTCCKGAMATATAAGAATCACGATCTAWTTCCTTCTGAGCCGCCGGCAATCAGCCCCGCAAAACAGCAACTCAGAACTAGCTTAACTGAAAAGGCAAAGATGGCTAGAGCCAAAACAATAGGGTTTTGCTAGCTGTGCAAATCTGATCTTCCTCTTCACTTGCGTGACCTTATATAAAGATATAGAAAGACTCTAGGTTAGGGTTTTGGTTAACTTGGGCTGCGAGTAACGGGTTTTTTAGAATATTTAGGGATTTTATGGAATTGGGCCGTGACAAACACAATTGTTACAACCTATCCAGTGTTAAAAAAAAAATTGTTACAAACTAATAAAAAATTACTGTAACAATTTACCGTAATTTTTTTTTTGTTTTGCTAAAAAAATGTACCGTAAATTTGCTATATTTATTCTATAGTATGACAAAAAGTTAACTACATATATAACGAAGAACGTAATCCGTAATAGCCGTAACTATTTTAGCCCACATATATAACAAATTGCTAGCTTTTTATTACAAAAAAATTATTCATTAGAAAATTGCTACGAAATGTTGTTATAAAATTTTGATACGATCAAATCTATTATAGATATTAGAGAGTTTTCTCTATTTAGGATGTCCACATAGGCAAAACTATTTTTGAAAATATTTAAGTTTTAAAAAAAATTCATTTAATATACATTAAATCATATTTATTTGTTTTCTTATAACTAATAATAAAAAAAGTGAAACATTAAGTAAATGAATGAAAAAATTAATAGATTTAAGACTAGAAAAAATAGATAGATATATATATATTAAAGAACTAAAAATGTGTTTATGATTTGTAGTTAAAACAATATTTTTGAAAACATTTAGGGGAAATTACAAAAAATGCCATTTAGAGGTGTTTATTTGCAAAAATGCCACTAATTATAGATTTTTAAACCCTATATCTCAAAATTCTAAACACTAAAAAATATTTTGACCCATAAACCCTCATAACTAAACCCTAATAGAACATAGTTAACCCAAACATAAATAATATAAAGAAAAAATAATTTTAAAAGTGGTGTTTTTGTAAAGATTTTAAAAGTGTGGCATTTTTTGAAATTTCTCAAATATTTAAGTTTTAAAAAAAAATTATATAATATACACTAAATCATATTTATTTGTTTTCTTATAACTAATAAAAAAAACTTGAAACATTAAGTAAATGAATGAAAATAAAAATTAATAAATTTAAGACTACAAAA